CGTCAATGCCCACAAAGTTGAATCGGATGCTAACATCGCATCTCTGAGAAGCATGGTCTTAGCGTTCGGGGAGCGTCTAGATGCTGGAGAGGTGGCTCTCCCCCCGGCAACCGTCGCCGTTCTAAGCAGCCTAAAGAATGACGTTGAGGAGCTCAAGGCCAAGCCCTCCCTGTCACCCCCTGCCAGTGACGCTATCACCTCTACCTAGGTGTTCTTATGTCTAANGAACAGCTTGAACCGCTGGAGGTCCCAATTGTACCCTCCACTGAGCTCACTGGTCCTATCTTTCCACCTGTCTCTCCAACCTTAGCGGTCTGAGTCTGCTCTTCTGTCCCCCTCTTCCTGTTACACCGTGGCCAAGCGACGCACCATATTTGTCTTATTCTCCATATCTTCCATATTTTTAAATTTTGTACTCTTTGTATTTGTGCAATCGACTGAGCTGCATGCTCATCTATGTATTCTAGGGAACTGCTATGGACTATTCTTTGTCTATTTTTATTTTTTACGCTGCACCTAATCTTTTGCTTTATATCGAGCCGCTTTTTGTACATAACCATTTTATGCTTACCTATCTTGGATCTATTGTGTGATAATTGCTTTCGCAGCCTGTATTTTTCTTCGGTCAACCTGCGCTTAACTCTTTATTTATTCATCTGTTTCTTATATTCATGCTGCCTGTATGCAACCCCACCTTTGCAATAAGGGTAATGTAAAACTCTTCAGCAAATAAATAAATCAATCAATCAAATATTTGAAAAATATATTTGTATAGATAAGGATTCAAAAAAAAAAAAAACTATCATTATATTTTACTGAAAAGAATTATTGTTATTTCAAATAATTGATTTTTCAGTTTTATAACTACAATATTTTATTATTATTACTATCATTATTATTGTTATTATTACAGGTACATATATATATATATATACTACTGTATGACCGACTGTAATGGTTAGGTGGGTGAGGTGTTGCTCCGGCGGACATCCAAGCTAAGCAGCGTTGAGCTGGGTTAGTACTTGGATGGGTGACCGCTTAGGAACACCTCGCTCGCACAAAAATTGCGGGCGGTAGGTACGGTGTAGCAGCCTAGTGTCTCCATCTAGTCAGTGTGACAGATGGATATATTAGGGCACTGCACAATCGACCGGCTGTGCGACTGGGGTTTTACATGGTTTCCCGTGCAGTCCTAGCTCGAATGGGGCACAGCTAAGCGTAAGACGGCTATGATACCGCAGATAACAATGAGAAGAAAAAGAAAGTAGGGGAGGCAGGCTAGAGGAGGGGTTTCAAATCGAGAATTACTTCGATGAAACCAATGAAATAGAAAAATTGAAAAAAAAAAAATTATATACTACTGTATATCGCCACCGTCTTTCTGACGGCAAATATTATTAAAAACTATCATTATATTTTACTGAAAATAATAATAATAATCAACTCTGATGCATCTTTTGTCGGCTTGTCCGACTTATGCAATCACGAGTTATATCCACCGTTGTAATGCGGCTTTGAGAGTGCTGTATTATCATTTGCGGCACTCTTATGGGATAGATAGGACGCCGGTGCTGCCTTACGCTCCAGGAGATATTGAGTCCGTTGTTGTGAACGAGAGGTGTAAGATTTACTGGAACTTCTCGTTCGCGACTGTCAGGCCAATCGTTGCGACGAAACCTGACATCGTCCTCTTCGATTTTGATGACAAAATCATCTATGTCATTAATTTCTCAGCTCCGGCTGAGAGCAACATCACAGTGAAAGAAGAGGAGAAGCGGCTCAAATACCAGCCACTCCTGTTTGAGCTATGTCAAATAAATCGGGGATTTAAAGTAAAGTTGGTTGTCCTGATAATTGGCTCTCTTGTGGGAATGAAAGAGTCATTCATATTTGTGCTGAACACCATCCCTGCATGTAGGCGTCAAGCCTTCATTTTGGCTGGCCAAATGCAGAAGGCGGTCATTCTTGGATCCCTCCGTCTACTTAGATAGCACGATTCTGGACTGCAGTAGAGCTCACCCTCTGGTTAGAGGGAGCACTACTGTAGGGCGATTAGGAAAAGTTTGTATCGCTTAGCTTGCTGGGCGGTCTTCGAGGTGAAGTCGGAATCCTGGAGGATCGTTCAGCGATTTCATTTACGAGTGTAAAAATAATAATAATAAATGGCGTAGGACCTTCCGGCTTGATACCCTCCCACATAATGCAGTGCAACAGAAAGCGGCATCAGTGAGATGCAGAACAGGAGAGGACTCAATGTATCGCCCTGAAAGACTCCTCTCCTGAATTGCAGCAACCCTGAAGTCAGCTTCTCCTCACCAGATGTTATGGTGAAGCGCGTTCTCCAGAGTGGCACAAGATCTTTAACGCATCTCACTATGTTATCTTCTATCGCAAGACACTCCAATAGCAGAAAAATGAGCTCATGGCTCGTGCTATCAAAGGCCATGCGATAGTCGACCCAGGTTATTGACAGATTGCGATGGTACTGAATCCTTCTCTACTCCTTTGGTGTCCTCAAGCGGAGTAGAGATGAATTGCAACAGCTGGACAGAGATACCCGCAAGCTGATGAACATCCACAGGAGCTTGCATCCACGCTCTTCAAATCCGCGGTTATATTTTCCGCGAGAGAGTGGGGGGCGAAGGCTTCTTAGTTTAGAAGCTCTTCATAAGCGTCTAGTCCTTGGTTCAGCTTGCGACGCTATGAATGGCTTGGATCCGCATTTGGAGTTTGTGCATGATCATGAACTCCGAGGGGTTCAAGCCTTTCTATATAAGGCAACAGACACTGGGACAGTTTCCCTCGGTTAGGAGTTTCGTCGTGGCCGAGAAGGTCAGTTAGCTAGCTGGTAATTCTCTAGCCAGCATGACCAAATCTCGGGGTAGGGCGACCATCAAGGAGGCGGAGCAGTTCACCTTGCTCCGCCAGCACGTCGATAGGCCCATGCATGGCGTATTCTTTTGCCACGTGGAGGAGCAGAGTCTGTCCGTTCAGCTGACTTTCTCTTTCTTGAAGTCGGCTGGCTTGATGTCCGAAATGGAAGGTTTCATTTGTGCGTGCCAGGATGGTGTAATAAATACTAGTCTAGTCTATCGAAGTTGCGTTATGGGGCTGCATATTCCAGACACGCGATGTCGGTCTTGCAAACAATCCCCGGAAACTTTGATGCATATTTTGTCGGCTTGTCCGACATATGCTATCACGAATTATATTCATCGTCATAATGCGGCTTTGAAAGTGCTGTATTATCATTTGCGACACTTCTATGGGATAGACAGAACACCACTGCTGCCATATGCTCCAGGGGATATTGAGTCCGTTGTCGTGAATGAGAGCTGTAAGATTTACTGGAACTTCTCGTTTGCGACCGTCAGGCCAATCGTTGCAACGAAGCCTGATGTCGTCCTCTTCCATGTTGCTGACAAGATCATCTATGTAATTGAGTTCTCAGCTCCAGCTGAGAGCAATATCACGGTGAAAGAAGAGGAGAAATAGCTCAAGTACCAACCACTCCTTTATGAGCTACGCCAACTTGACCGAGGGTTCAAAGTGAAGTTGATTGTTTTCATCATAGGCTCTTTAGGGGGCATGAAGCAGTCTTTCATATCAGCGCTCGATGTCATCCCGGCCTGTAGGCGTAATGCCTATATATTGGCCGGTCAGATGCAGAAAGCTGTCATCCTTGGGTCCCTCCGTCTTACTAGGCAGCACGATTCTGGACTGCAGTAGAGTTCACCCTCTGGTTTGAGGGAGCACTGCTGCAGAGCGATTAGGATATGTTTCTATCACTTAGTTTGCTGAGTGTTTTTCGAGGTTAAGTCGGAGCCCTCGAGGATCACCCAGCAATCTCTTGACAGAGTTAAAAAATAATAATAATAATAATAATAATAGTAATAATAATATCTATCCCTGGTCTATCGGAGTCGCGTTGTGGGGATGCAAGTTGCGGATGCTCCATGTCGGGCCTGTAGACATTCCCCGGAAACTCTAGCGCATCTTTTATCGGCTTGTCCGACGCATGCAATTACGAGTTATATTCACCGTCATTATTGACACATACTACACACTCAAACAGCTTCTTCTGCTAATAAACTGGACTCTGTTGACACCGTGAGAGTTCTTGGACAGTGGGAACGAAATCATGTTTCTTTTCCCATCACTTTATGTATTTCAATTGAAAATACGAGGTATTTATCCTCAATACTTCGCAGATTGGTAATTAGAAGTACTAAAATAATTTCGGAGAAGGGAATAAAACAAAATTATTAACGTTCACACCGAACTCTTCTGAAAACGCAAGTTTACCGTACCCTGCGGTCTGTCAGAGGGATATCCATCTAAATACAGTTTACCATTTGTTTGAGCGAATGAATCAATACTTTTTGTAGCTGAATGTTTAAATGATGGCTAAAATGAGGAGAGGTCAAACAATGAAAGATTAAGCAATGGAAGGGTCAAACGGGGAAGGTTTCAACAGAAGAAGCAAAACGTATGAGTATACCTAATTTCATTTTGTTTTCTTCGCACATAAATGTTTGTTATCATTATTTTTTCATATCAATCTCGCCTGTTAATCCTCAATTATCGAACTAACGAAGATATGGCATTTGTGCTAATTATTATTTTTCATCTCCTCTTAGAGAATAAATTAGAAACATTGGCCATTTCATGGATTTATCGGAGCGAAAAAACATCAAAAACTTTTTGCACCGATTGAAACCGATGAAATAGGAAGCTACTGGAACTTTGAATTTTTTTTACATTTATCAATAGTTACCGTGAAAGTTTTGATAAAGGTAAAGGTTAATATCTCCACCAATAATTGGATAATAGAATTGTGCTGACTTGTTTGATTGACTCATGATTCATTGACTCTGGTTGTGCTCATTTTCCTCTTTTTGGACTATACTTTTGCATAAAGAAGACAGAGGAAGTTACAAAATGTGAAGGAAATTTTTCATATTTCACAATAAATTTCTGTTCAATTCATTTTTTTACAGCTAAAGTGGAATTGAGGTTCAAAAGAAATGAAGCATATCTCCAGAACATAGCTTATAATACCGTCCCCATGATAATCCATGGGAATGGCCAAAGTAAAGTAATTCTGAACGCTCTTGGAAATTATCTCGCTAGAGCGTGGAGTCCGGAGGAGGGATGTCTGAACTGCCGTGACGCCATCACAGAACTTCCTAATGACCATCAGCAAACATATCCGCCTATACTCATCGCAATATTCATCGATAGACCTACGCCTTTCCTTGAGGAATTGTTCGAAAAAATCTACCAACAAGTTTACCCAAAGTCTAAACTGCATCTCTTCATTCATAATAGTGAACCTTACCACGATTCTGTTGTTCAGAAATTTATTGACAATGGTGGAAGTGAATACAAAAGTATAAAGATTATCAATTTTAATGATCATATTGGTTTCTCTGCTGGTAAAACTCTTGCCATGTGAGTTGTTCATTAGAAATCTTATTTGTACATTGAATGCAAAAGTGTGGTATTTTGAAAAATATTATAAACTTTTCTCTGGTATTGCAGGCAATATTGTTTGTCGAAGGACTGTTCTGGTTACTTCTCGGTGGATTCTGTGGCCCATTTAGATAACACATATACACTCAAACTTCTAGTGGAACAGCAAAGGGGTATCGTTGGACCTCTTCTAGTCCGAGAAGAACAGACTTGGAGTAATTTCTGGGGAGCTGTCGCTGATAATGGATACTATGCTCGAAGTACTGATTACATGGATATTATTCAGAATAAAAGACGGTAAGTTGAATCGTTTTCCACTTTTGCTTCCGAATGGAAGCTTTGTAATCGTTCGATTTTCACATTCTCTAATTTTCTTTGGAAATGATGTAGAATGGTCTAAAACGTAAAAATACGAAGATTGGCGACCATGTCTGTATGTGAATATATCCACCGTCACCTTCCCGGTGGTCATTTTTTAGAAAATTGAGTAATTAAGTGGCTAAAATAATTTTGAAAAAATTGAAATTATGTCAGATTATAGGTCTTAATAAGGACTAACTCTCTGCACAATTTCAGCCCGATTGGTCAAATAGTTTTCGAGATAAAGCGATTCGTTTTTAAATCGTTTTTCACGAATATCTTTAAAATTATTGGACCGATTTAGATTTTTTTTTTTCAAAATATTCGTCTCGATGTCTTCTACCTAGATCAACAAAAACATATATATCCGTCCATACAAAGTTTTTGACATATTTCTGCTTTTCTGTTTTTTCATTAAAATCCTTGCACACGTNCTGGCCAAATGCAGAAGGCGGTCATTCTTGGATCCCTCCGTCTACTTAGATAGCACGATTCTGGACTGCAGTAGAGCTCACCCTCTGGTTAGAGGGAGCACTACTGTAGGGCGATTAGGAAAAGTTTGTATCGCTTAGCTTGCTGGGCGGTCTTCGAGGTGAAGTCGGAATCCTGGAGGATCGTTCAGCGATTTCATTTACGAGTGTAAAAATAATAATAATAAATGGCGTAGGACCTTCCGGCTTGATACCCTCCCACATAATGCAGTGCAACAGAAAGCGGCATCAGTGAGATGCAGAACAGGAGAGGACTCAATGTATCGCCCTGAAAGACTCCTCTCCTGAATTGCAGCAACCCTGAAGTCAGCTTCTCCTCACCAGATGTTATGGTGAAGCGCGTTCTCCAGAGTGGCACAAGATCTTTAACGCATCTCACTATGTTATCTTCTATCGCAAGACACTCCAATAGCAGAAAAATGAGCTCATGGCTCGTGCTATCAAAGGCCATGCGATAGTCGACCCAGGTTATTGACAGATTGCGATGGTACTGAATCCTTCTCTACTCCTTTGGTGTCCTCAAGCGGAGTAGAGATGAATTGCAACAGCTGGACAGAGATACCCGCAAGCTGATGAACATCCACAGGAGCTTGCATCCACGCTCTTCAAATCCGCGGTTATATTTTCCGCGAGAGAGTGGGGGGCGAAGGCTTCTTAGTTTAGAAGCTCTTCATAAGCGTCTAGTCCTTGGTTCAGCTTGCGACGCTATGAATGGCTTGGATCCGCATTTGGAGTTTGTGCATGATCATGAACTCCGAGGGGTTCAAGCCTTTCTATATAAGGCAACAGACACTGGGACAGTTTCCCTCGGTTAGGAGTTTCGTCGTGGCCGAGAAGGTCAGTTAGCTAGCTGGTAATTCTCTAGCCAGCATGACCAAATCTCGGGGTAGGGCGACCATCAAGGAGGCGGAGCAGTTCACCTTGCTCCGCCAGCACGTCGATAGGCCCATGCATGGCGTATTCTTTTGCCACGTGGAGGAGCAGAGTCTGTCCGTTCAGCTGACTTTCTCTTTCTTGAAGTCGGCTGGCTTGATGTCCGAAATGGAAGGTTTCATTTGTGCGTGCCAGGATGGTGTAATAAATACTAGTCTAGTCTATCGAAGTTGCGTTATGGGGCTGCATATTCCAGACACGCGATGTCGGTCTTGCAAACAATCCCCGGAAACTTTGATGCATATTTTGTCGGCTTGTCCGACATATGCTATCACGAATTATATTCATCGTCATAATGCGGCTTTGAAAGTGCTGTATTATCATTTGCGACACTTCTATGGGATAGACAGAACACCACTGCTGCCATATGCTCCAGGGGATATTGAGTCCGTTGTCGTGAATGAGAGCTGTAAGATTTACTGGAACTTCTCGTTTGCGACCGTCAGGCCAATCGTTGCAACGAAGCCTGATGTCGTCCTCTTCCATGTTGCTGACAAGATCATCTATGTAATTGAGTTCTCAGCTCCAGCTGAGAGCAATATCACGGTGAAAGAAGAGGAGAAATAGCTCAAGTACCAACCACTCCTTTATGAGCTACGCCAACTTGACCGAGGGTTCAAAGTGAAGTTGATTGTTTTCATCATAGGCTCTTTAGGGGGCATGAAGCAGTCTTTCATATCAGCGCTCGATGTCATCCCGGCCTGTAGGCGTAATGCCTATATATTGGCCGGTCAGATGCAGAAAGCTGTCATCCTTGGGTCCCTCCGTCTTACTAGGCAGCACGATTCTGGACTGCAGTAGAGTTCACCCTCTGGTTTGAGGGAGCACTGCTGCAGAGCGATTAGGATATGTTTCTATCACTTAGTTTGCTGAGTGTTTTTCGAGGTTAAGTCGGAGCCCTCGAGGATCACCCAGCAATCTCTTGACAGAGTTAAAAAATAATAATAATAATAATAATAATAGTAATAATAATATCTATCCCTGGTCTATCGGAGTCGCGTTGTGGGGATGCAAGTTGCGGATGCTCCATGTCGGGCCTGTAGACATTCCCCGGAAACTCTAGCGCATCTTTTATCGGCTTGTCCGACGCATGCAATTACGAGTTATATTCACCGTCATTATTGACACATACTACACACTCAAACAGCTTCTTCTGCTAATAAACTGGACTCTGTTGACACCGTGAGAGTTCTTGGACAGTGGGAACGAAATCATGTTTCTTTTCCCATCACTTTATGTATTTCAATTGAAAATACGAGGTATTTATCCTCAATACTTCGCAGATTGGTAATTAGAAGTACTAAAATAATTTCGGAGAAGGGAATAAAACAAAATTATTAACGTTCACACCGAACTCTTCTGAAAACGCAAGTTTACCGTACCCTGCGGTCTGTCAGAGGGATATCCATCTAAATACAGTTTACCATTTGTTTGAGCGAATGAATCAATACTTTTTGTAGCTGAATGTTTAAATGATGGCTAAAATGAGGAGAGGTCAAACAATGAAAGATTAAGCAATGGAAGGGTCAAACGGGGAAGGTTTCAACAGAAGAAGCAAAACGTATGAGTATACCTAATTTCATTTTGTTTTCTTCGCACATAAATGTTTGTTATCATTATTTTTTCATATCAATCTCGCCTGTTAATCCTCAATTATCGAACTAACGAAGATATGGCATTTGTGCTAATTATTATTTTTCATCTCCTCTTAGAGAATAAATTAGAAACATTGGCCATTTCATGGATTTATCGGAGCGAAAAAACATCAAAAACTTTTTGCACCGATTGAAACCGATGAAATAGGAAGCTACTGGAACTTTGAATTTTTTTTACATTTATCAATAGTTACCGTGAAAGTTTTGATAAAGGTAAAGGTTAATATCTCCACCAATAATTGGATAATAGAATTGTGCTGACTTGTTTGATTGACTCATGATTCATTGACTCTGGTTGTGCTCATTTTCCTCTTTTTGGACTATACTTTTGCATAAAGAAGACAGAGGAAGTTACAAAATGTGAAGGAAATTTTTCATATTTCACAATAAATTTCTGTTCAATTCATTTTTTTACAGCTAAAGTGGAATTGAGGTTCAAAAGAAATGAAGCATATCTCCAGAACATAGCTTATAATACCGTCCCCATGATAATCCATGGGAATGGCCAAAGTAAAGTAATTCTGAACGCTCTTGGAAATTATCTCGCTAGAGCGTGGAGTCCGGAGGAGGGATGTCTGAACTGCCGTGACGCCATCACAGAACTTCCTAATGACCATCAGCAAACATATCCGCCTATACTCATCGCAATATTCATCGATAGACCTACGCCTTTCCTTGAGGAATTGTTCGAAAAAATCTACCAACAAGTTTACCCAAAGTCTAAACTGCATCTCTTCATTCATAATAGTGAACCTTACCACGATTCTGTTGTTCAGAAATTTATTGACAATGGTGGAAGTGAATACAAAAGTATAAAGATTATCAATTTTAATGATCATATTGGTTTCTCTGCTGGTAAAACTCTTGCCATGTGAGTTGTTCATTAGAAATCTTATTTGTACATTGAATGCAAAAGTGTGGTATTTTGAAAAATATTATAAACTTTTCTCTGGTATTGCAGGCAATATTGTTTGTCGAAGGACTGTTCTGGTTACTTCTCGGTGGATTCTGTGGCCCATTTAGATAACACATATACACTCAAACTTCTAGTGGAACAGCAAAGGGGTATCGTTGGACCTCTTCTAGTCCGAGAAGAACAGACTTGGAGTAATTTCTGGGGAGCTGTCGCTGATAATGGATACTATGCTCGAAGTACTGATTACATGGATATTATTCAGAATAAAAGACGGTAAGTTGAATCGTTTTCCACTTTTGCTTCCGAATGGAAGCTTTGTAATCGTTCGATTTTCACATTCTCTAATTTTCTTTGGAAATGATGTAGAATGGTCTAAAACGTAAAAATACGAAGATTGGCGACCATGTCTGTATGTGAATATATCCACCGTCACCTTCCCGGTGGTCATTTTTTAGAAAATTGAGTAATTAAGTGGCTAAAATAATTTTGAAAAAATTGAAATTATGTCAGATTATAGGTCTTAATAAGGACTAACTCTCTGCACAATTTCAGCCCGATTGGTCAAATAGTTTTCGAGATAAAGCGATTCGTTTTTAAATCGTTTTTCACGAATATCTTTAAAATTATTGGACCGATTTAGATTTTTTTTTTTCAAAATATTCGTCTCGATGTCTTCTACCTAGATCAACAAAAACATATATATCCGTCCATACAAAGTTTTTGACATATTTCTGCTTTTCTGTTTTTTCATTAAAATCCTTGCACACGTGCTAACGTGTGCAAAAATCGAGATATCAACTTAAAATTTGGACAGAATCTTCCTCCCATGATAATAAAGGTTCGTTTTGCAGACGGGCTCCATCGCACCAGTAGTTTCGGAGAGATTCAACTTTTTCTGAAAATCTATTATGCTGAATATCTTTAAAACTTTGCAACCAATTCCACTTTTTTTTGCTTCCGAATGGAAGCCTTATATTTGAGCGATTTTTCGATTTTATAATGTTGATGGCAAATAGTCTAGAATTTTATGAAACGTGAAGAAAATGTGTTTTTAGGGTCATGTCTGTATGTATGTGTGTGACGACTTGGGTTTCTGGTGATTAATTTTTAGAAAATTCAACATAAATACGGTAAAATTTCTCGATAAAAGTCTGAAATTTTGGCTTATGGTAGCTATGACTACGCTTCACTTTGAGGGGCAATTTCAGCCCANAAAGTTTGTATCGCTTAGCTTGCTGGGCGGTCTTCGAGGTGAAGTCGGAATCCTGGAGGATCGTTCAGCGATTTCATTTACGAGTGTAAAAATAATAATAATAAATGGCGTAGGACCTTCCGGCTTGATACCCTCCCACATAATGCAGTGCAACAGAAAGCGGCATCAGTGAGATGCAGAACAGGAGAGGACTCAATGTATCGCCCTGAAAGACTCCTCTCCTGAATTGCAGCAACCCTGAAGTCAGCTTCTCCTCACCAGATGTTATGGTGAAGCGCGTTCTCCAGAGTGGCACAAGATCTTTAACGCATCTCACTATGTTATCTTCTATCGCAAGACACTCCAATAGCAGAAAAATGAGCTCATGGCTCGTGCTATCAAAGGCCATGCGATAGTCGACCCAGGTTATTGACAGATTGCGATGGTACTGAATCCTTCTCTACTCCTTTGGTGTCCTCAAGCGGAGTAGAGATGAATTGCAACAGCTGGACAGAGATACCCGCAAGCTGATGAACATCCACAGGAGCTTGCATCCACGCTCTTCAAATCCGCGGTTATATTTTCCGCGAGAGAGTGGGGGGCGAAGGCTTCTTAGTTTAGAAGCTCTTCATAAGCGTCTAGTCCTTGGTTCAGCTTGCGACGCTATGAATGGCTTGGATCCGCATTTGGAGTTTGTGCATGATCATGAACTCCGAGGGGTTCAAGCCTTTCTATATAAGGCAACAGACACTGGGACAGTTTCCCTCGGTTAGGAGTTTCGTCGTGGCCGAGAAGGTCAGTTAGCTAGCTGGTAATTCTCTAGCCAGCATGACCAAATCTCGGGGTAGGGCGACCATCAAGGAGGCGGAGCAGTTCACCTTGCTCCGCCAGCACGTCGATAGGCCCATGCATGGCGTATTCTTTTGCCACGTGGAGGAGCAGAGTCTGTCCGTTCAGCTGACTTTCTCTTTCTTGAAGTCGGCTGGCTTGATGTCCGAAATGGAAGGTTTCATTTGTGCGTGCCAGGATGGTGTAATAAATACTAGTCTAGTCTATCGAAGTTGCGTTATGGGGCTGCATATTCCAGACACGCGATGTCGGTCTTGCAAACAATCCCCGGAAACTTTGATGCATATTTTGTCGGCTTGTCCGACATATGCTATCACGAATTATATTCATCGTCATAATGCGGCTTTGAAAGTGCTGTATTATCATTTGCGACACTTCTATGGGATAGACAGAACACCACTGCTGCCATATGCTCCAGGGGATATTGAGTCCGTTGTCGTGAATGAGAGCTGTAAGATTTACTGGAACTTCTCGTTTGCGACCGTCAGGCCAATCGTTGCAACGAAGCCTGATGTCGTCCTCTTCCATGTTGCTGACAAGATCATCTATGTAATTGAGTTCTCAGCTCCAGCTGAGAGCAATATCACGGTGAAAGAAGAGGAGAAATAGCTCAAGTACCAACCACTCCTTTATGAGCTACGCCAACTTGACCGAGGGTTCAAAGTGAAGTTGATTGTTTTCATCATAGGCTCTTTAGGGGGCATGAAGCAGTCTTTCATATCAGCGCTCGATGTCATCCCGGCCTGTAGGCGTAATGCCTATATATTGGCCGGTCAGATGCAGAAAGCTGTCATCCTTGGGTCCCTCCGTCTTACTAGGCAGCACGATTCTGGACTGCAGTAGAGTTCACCCTCTGGTTTGAGGGAGCACTGCTGCAGAGCGATTAGGATATGTTTCTATCACTTAGTTTGCTGAGTGTTTTTCGAGGTTAAGTCGGAGCCCTCGAGGATCACCCAGCAATCTCTTGACAGAGTTAAAAAATAATAATAATAATAATAATAATAGTAATAATAATATCTATCCCTGGTCTATCGGAGTCGCGTTGTGGGGATGCAAGTTGCGGATGCTCCATGTCGGGCCTGTAGACATTCCCCGGAAACTCTAGCGCATCTTTTATCGGCTTGTCCGACGCATGCAATTACGAGTTATATTCACCGTCATTATTGACACATACTACACACTCAAACAGCTTCTTCTGCTAATAAACTGGACTCTGTTGACACCGTGAGAGTTCTTGGACAGTGGGAACGAAATCATGTTTCTTTTCCCATCACTTTATGTATTTCAATTGAAAATACGAGGTATTTATCCTCAATACTTCGCAGATTGGTAATTAGAAGTACTAAAATAATTTCGGAGAAGGGAATAAAACAAAATTATTAACGTTCACACCGAACTCTTCTGAAAACGCAAGTTTACCGTACCCTGCGGTCTGTCAGAGGGATATCCATCTAAATACAGTTTACCATTTGTTTGAGCGAATGAATCAATACTTTTTGTAGCTGAATGTTTAAATGATGGCTAAAATGAGGAGAGGTCAAACAATGAAAGATTAAGCAATGGAAGGGTCAAACGGGGAAGGTTTCAACAGAAGAAGCAAAACGTATGAGTATACCTAATTTCATTTTGTTTTCTTCGCACATAAATGTTTGTTATCATTATTTTTTCATATCAATCTCGCCTGTTAATCCTCAATTATCGAACTAACGAAGATATGGCATTTGTGCTAATTATTATTTTTCATCTCCTCTTAGAGAATAAATTAGAAACATTGGCCATTTCATGGATTTATCGGAGCGAAAAAACATCAAAAACTTTTTGCACCGATTGAAACCGATGAAATAGGAAGCTACTGGAACTTTGAATTTTTTTTACATTTATCAATAGTTACCGTGAAAGTTTTGATAAAGGTAAAGGTTAATATCTCCACCAATAATTGGATAATAGAATTGTGCTGACTTGTTTGATTGACTCATGATTCATTGACTCTGGTTGTGCTCATTTTCCTCTTTTTGGACTATACTTTTGCATAAAGAAGACAGAGGAAGTTACAAAATGTGAAGGAAATTTTTCATATTTCACAATAAATTTCTGTTCAATTCATTTTTTTACAGCTAAAGTGGAATTGAGGTTCAAAAGAAATGAAGCATATCTCCAGAACATAGCTTATAATACCGTCCCCATGATAATCCATGGGAATGGCCAAAGTAAAGTAATTCTGAACGCTCTTGGAAATTATCTCGCTAGAGCGTGGAGTCCGGAGGAGGGATGTCTGAACTGCCGTGACGCCATCACAGAACTTCCTAATGACCATCAGCAAACATATCCGCCTATACTCATCGCAATATTCATCGATAGACCTACGCCTTTCCTTGAGGAATTGTTCGAAAAAATCTACCAACAAGTTTACCCAAAGTCTAAACTGCATCTCTTCATTCATAATAGTGAACCTTACCACGATTCTGTTGTTCAGAAATTTATTGACAATGGTGGAAGTGAATACAAAAGTATAAAGATTATCAATTTTAATGATCATATTGGTTTCTCTGCTGGTAAAACTCTTGCCATGTGAGTTGTTCATTAGAAATCTTATTTGTACATTGAATGCAAAAGTGTGGTATTTTGAAAAATATTATAAACTTTTCTCTGGTATTGCAGGCAATATTGTTTGTCGAAGGACTGTTCTGGTTACTTCTCGGTGGATTCTGTGGCCCATTTAGATAACACATATACACTCAAACTTCTAGTGGAACAGCAAAGGGGTATCGTTGGACCTCTTCTAGTCCGAGAAGAACAGACTTGGAGTAATTTCTGGGGAGCTGTCGCTGATAATGGATACTATGCTCGAAGTACTGATTACATGGATATTATTCAGAATAAAAGACGGTAAGTTGAATCGTTTTCCACTTTTGCTTCCGAATGGAAGCTTTGTAATCGTTCGATTTTCACATTCTCTAATTTTCTTTGGAAATGATGTAGAATGGTCTAAAACGTAAAAATACGAAGATTGGCGACCATGTCTGTATGTGAATATATCCACCGTCACCTTCCCGGTGGTCATTTTTTAGAAAATTGAGTAATTAAGTGGCTAAAATAATTTTGAAAAAATTGAAATTATGTCAGATTATAGGTCTTAATAAGGACTAACTCTCTGCACAATTTCAGCCCGATTGGTCAAATAGTTTTCGAGATAAAGCGATTCGTTTTTAAATCGTTTTTCACGAATATCTTTAAAATTATTGGACCGATTTAGATTTTTTTTTTTCAAAATATTCGTCTCGATGTCTTCTACCTAGATCAACAAAAACATATATATCCGTCCATACAAAGTTTTTGACATATTTCTGCTTTTCTGTTTTTTCATTAAAATCCTTGCACACGTGCTAACGTGTGCAAAAATCGAGATATCAACTTAAAATTTGGACAGAATCTTCCTCCCATGATAATAAAGGTTCGTTTTGCAGACGGGCTCCATCGCACCAGTAGTTTCGGAGAGATTCAACTTTTTCTGAAAATCTATTATGCTGAATATCTTTAAAACTTTGCAACCAATTCCACTTTTTTTTGCTTCCGAATGGAAGCCTTATATTTGAGCGATTTTTCGATTTTATAATGTTGATGGCAAATAGTCTAGAATTTTATGAAACGTGAAGAAAATGTGTTTTTAGGGTCATGTCTGTATGTATGTGTGTGACGACTTGGGTTTCTGGTGATTAATTTTTAGAAAATTCAACATAAATACGGTAAAATTTCTCGATAAAAGTCTGAAATTTTGGCTTATGGTAGCTATGACTACGCTTCACTTTGAGGGGCAATTTCAGCCCAATCGGTCCAGTAGTTCCTGAGATATAACAACTTGTTTGAATTTCGTTTTTCCACAATATCTCAAAATCTACTCCACCGATTTTAATTTTTTTTCTTCAAAATACTTGTTTCCATGGACTCTAGTTAGATCGATCAACATATATACACCCTTTCACACAGAATTTGAAGATATTGCCGTTTTTCCGTTTTTTCATGAAAAATCTTGTTTACACAATAACTTAATAAAATAAAAAATGGAGATAACGAGCTAAAATTTTGTATGCTTCTAGTTTTTATAACGTAAAAGATTGGTATTGTGGATGGGCGCAATCGGCCCAGCGGTTCTTGAGATATTCAACCTATTGTGGAAATATATTTCTTTAAATATCTCATGAACTACTGGACGGATTTCAAATTTTTTTGTCAAAATGCTTGTCTCAGTGGTCACTATCTAGATCAATCAAAATATGTATACCCGTCTACAAAAAAGAATGGCGGATATTCCCGTTTTTTCGTTTTTTAAATTTTTTCATTCTTGTACGCACGATATTTTGAAAAAAAATGAAAATAGCAAGTCAAAATTTGGTGTGATTATAGCTGTTGCAATATTGGAAATTCATATTTTGGATAGGGGCAATCGGCCGAACAGTTTCGGCGATATTTAACCTTGTGTATAAATCTATTTTATTAAAGGGTTGAATATCTTCCTGTAGACACCCTGTAGCATGGAGTTACGATTGTATGCCTGTCACAAGGACAGGGAATCGCAACGGATTCATTCGGAAGCTTACTACCAATTTCATTGGTAGAAATAAAAACACGGCAAGGACTAATAACGCCAAAAGTAACGGTCACATGCCTTCTGTCCGCTGGGCTCGAACCCCTGCTCGTTCCATTAAAATCCTTGTACGCGCGCTAACATGTGCAAAAATCGAGATATCGACTTGTTGAATACAAGTCGTTCTATGGTTTCTAGCTGACGTAAAAATCGAAATGTCCACTTGTTTTGGTCGGACTTCACTTTTGCGCACTATGACATGGATAAAAGTCAGGAAAACCTTTTGAAACTTTAGCTTCCAGTTAGGATTATCAAGCAACAGTCCTACATCAGACTTGAGGTCGATATGAAATGAAATGATCGATATGTTTGGTAGTTCTTGAGATGGAATAATTCACCCAAAATTCTTGATAAAAAAAATTACGCATCTATATTTCATCGTTCATTTGANTTTCATATCAGCGCTCGATGTCATCCCGGCCTGTAGGCGTAATGCCTATATATTGGCCGGTCAGATGCAGAAAGCTGTCATCCTTGGGTCCCTCCGTCTTACTAGGCAGCACGATTCTGGACTGCAGTAGAGTTCACCCTCTGGTTTGAGGGAGCACTGCTGCAGAGCGATTAGGATATGTTTCTATCACTTAGTTTGCTGAGTGTTTTTCGAGGTTAAGTCGGAGCCCTCGAGGATCANTGAGAAAGCCATGTAATATGAATGTATGGTTTTTTCATATTCATTTTATAAAAATAGGGGAAAATAAGACAAAGCTCATAAGCATGTATAGATGATCGCCGCCGCACCCTACCCATGTGACCACTACTGTTTCTCACATTTATTTATTCTAATAATTTCTTTATTCTGACTAGGTGATTCACAAATGGTGATAATGAAAAGGAAGATTTTTCCATAAATAGATAATGATAGCTAACGATATTTTGTGTGACGTATGAATGGGATTGGCCTTAATATTTTCAAAAAAGGTAATTCTTATGCCTTCATTTTTTGAAAACATACATTAGAATCGATTCGGAAGCCTACTACCAATAAAATTGGTAGAAATCAAAATAGGAGAAAAAAATACGTGGAGAGTAGCAGTTATATGTAATTTGTCAAATGGCTTCTGTCGCACTGCTTGTTTCTATAGCCAGGGAATCAAACAGACGGCCATCGTCTTTCCTTAGTGATACGGGTTCATCGCGTCCGCTACTTATTTTATCTACTTATACCTACCGATTCCATTGGCGGTGAATTTTCGAACAGAATCTAAACCTCTTTGCAAACATCTTGTCTTGAATTATGATAATATTGTTTTACGCACCTGTATAGAAATATACTATATTGAAGCGGAAGCATCTCGGCAAAAGTTCAATATTTGTTGCACTAGAATCGTGAAACTTCTGAACTTTTTCAACGTGTGGTATTAATTAATGTCAGGATATTAGTTAAATGGGAGTGAAATTAGAAATACAGAATTCAGAGCAAAACAGGCATAAAAGTTATTGTAAAACAACAGCGCAAAGGCAACGTTTTATTTAACGAGACCGATCGCGTGCTGCAGCGCGCGCTTTTGAATGTATTTATTAGGATGTCAGTGTATTCGTGTGAGATATTTTTGATTCGCAGGAATGTCATGTTTCGACATAGAAACTTCTCAAAATTGAATCATGATATTGATTTATGTGTATAATTCTCTGTAAACATAATTTCTTATCATTCCATTTTTTCGTTGTCCTCCTAAGAAACTTTGTAGTGATTTCCAACTTCTTATTATTGAAAAAGCCACATATAGCTGACCATAATTGAATACATCTTTACGTAAATCAATACCTATTTTCTCAAAAGTTTGACCTTGACTTTTGTTGATAGTCATAGCAAATGCTAATTTGATAGGGAATTGTCGACGTTTGAAAGTGAAAGGGTACACCTTCTCACAATATAATGTAATGCGATGAATAAATACAATGTTCCCTGTTTTATCACCTGTGAGATTACGACACTCTAGAAGATTATTGGCTAGTTGCAGTATTTGCAATCGCGTACCATTACAGAGACCCTCATTGATTCTTATATTACGTATCAACATAACAATACAATTATTCCTCAAGCGTAATTCGTGTGGTGGCATATTAGATGGGTTGAGAGTACTCAGATATTCAGGTATTATTGCATCATTAATACCTCCGTTATCACAAATCTCAACATTATCCACGCTCGTGTAAATTCGTTCACTGTTTTTTTCAAAGAGGCTTACAACTCTGTGATTGATTTCTTCAACATCCACATTTCGAACCGATAATATAGCCCTTTTCTAAGATAATATACATCTTTGCTAAGTCACCGAATCTTCGTGCACCTATAAGTTCTTCAAATATTATTTTGACTATATCATTGTCTTTATGAGCTACGCCCTGTTCTGGAGCCTTCAAATTATTATCTTGATCATTCAGAGTTCCATTTCCTACTGTTTGAGATTGAAGCTAAATTGAGATGCCGGTTGGGGAAAATTGGAATTGTGGAAGGAGGTGGAAAATTAAAACACGCGGAATTATAAAACCACATTGTTGATATACTTTATTGTGGAATAACCCACGCGTCTTGATAAATTTTATGTTACACTGTTGATTTTCTCGATAAAGTCAATTGTACAAATGGTTTGAAAATTGCACTGCACTTAAAAAATGTCTCGATAATAAGTTGATTAATGATTTTGGTGATTGACTCGACTTAAAGTATAATTTAACAAAAAACAATAGAGAAGTTAAACTCAATTATCTCGCGTTGATGTACTCCGTTGATGTACTCGATTGAACGGTTACGTTGATACTGTACTGTGGTTAGAGTGATTCTCTCGGTATCTAGAACGATACTACTGACTTTTTCGGCGATTTTCTTCATAGCTGACCGTGACCCCGAAGGGTCCCGAAGTTTTTTCACGCGTTCCCACTCTCCATCGTCTTCTATGAGGCCCAATGCCAAGCATGCATCGTGATAAGTTTCATGGATTATTCCATTGACAGTTCTGAGAGCTTCAAAACTTTCAGCCCCCGCTATTTTTATTAGGTGTACAAATAAGTTTTAGGACACTTCGATTCCGTGTCAAAAAGTAATTTACGCTTACATATGATATGTTGGGGTTTGTTATGTAGTATCAAAACATAAGGGAGTCATGAACATAACCTTAAATTCTGTGAATAAAGCATGCAGACCGATAAGCTATTTATTAGACACTGCATTCGCTATGAATTCCATCAAGGAAAAACTGTTAGGAAAGCATGTGAATCGATTTGTTCTGTTCTTGGGGACAAC